TGTTAACGATCACCGGCACTAAGCATGTAAACTAGCTACCTATTGCTAATGTTCTACAGTAAACTATAAATCATCTTGACGCAACGAGATCTTCAATATCCTTTACATCAGCTCCTTGGTTTGCCTGTTACTGGTCACATATATTCACAACTGGAGTTCTAATTTTTTACTTGGCGATCTCGCTTTAATTTTTTTACTCCTTAAATGTAGGCATGTAGCTTACCATTTTGTTCCGATTACAAAACAATAGGCAGACAGAGCATACGCAACAAACGAAGCGAAGCCACTTTTCATTTATTGTGTGCGTAACAAATAGGAGGAGCACTCTACAGTGTCTTACACGCAACATATGTAAGATTGCCATAAGCTGCGAAAAAATTTCCGTATTTCTTTCTGTTGCTTTCTATAATACTATTACAAACTAAAAATGTTATTTTGCAATATAAGTACTAAAGTGATATTAGAATATCAAGCAAATTATATGCAATATAAGTTAATATTTAATTGTTAATATTTGGTTTACATCACACATCAGAAAAAGAATATTTTATTAAGAGATTTTAAATTGGAAAATTTTGATAGTTCAAAATATTTATTTCAATCACAGTTACGCAATATCTTATTAACCTTTATTTTGCACACATTTTTTATAATGCTACCGTTTTGCGTCTATACATCGAGCATTCTCATCATCTCACCAACAAATATTTTTCTATTAATTTTTTTATTAAATTAACTTTGTAACCAATTCCATACCATTGACGATTATGTTCTAATTTGACAAAAATTGTTTGGTTACCAATAAAACTCTTTAGGACCTGTGAAGTTATGTACAGTCAAGAGCACATCAAGCTTGACACTTTGTACTTTGGACTGTTCTTATCGTAAGCGGCATACAGTTGCATTTAAGTCTTAAGTGTCAAGTTTGACGTGCTCTTGACTGTACATACATTATAATTTATTTATTTATTTATTTATTTAAACTTTATTGTACAATACACTGAAGTACAAATCGCTTATTTGGTGCTACATTGATGTAATTGTAATTTTGGCAAATTTGGATAAAGGATGTTAATATGTAATTAATTAAGTCTTAATTCAATTATGCCAAAATTGCAATTAAGTCAATGTTGCACTAAATGAGCGAAATGGCGGACTTAATGCCATAAGGCATTCTCTACCAGTCAACCATTGGGCCAAACAGAAAAAAAACACAATAGGTTGGTGCTACACTTAAACAAGAAGAAATAGAAATACTAGAAAACTAATCGATAATTTGTATGGTATAAATAAATAATATACAATAAACATACTTATTATACATACATAATAAACTTACATATATATATTATAATAATAAATAATATGATATATGTACCCAAAGCAACATTAAACAGTGTCTTAATTTTGACTATTGTCAAACAGATGCTTGCGCAACATGCGCTTGAAAGATAATTTGGTCTGAGCTTGTCTTACATGGAGCGGGAGCGCGTTCCAAAGACGAATTGCATGAAGGGTAAAAGAATTAGACAAAAAATCAGTGCGATGAGAAGGAATGGAAAGCTTAAGGCTACGGGAAGATCGAAATTCGCAACCCGGTCGAGCGTTTTGAAATTGAAATGAACATTTAAGATAATCAGGTGCAACCGGGTCGAACAAGATGGAGAAAAGAGTGGTTAAAATTCTTAAGGACCTGCGTTCACGGATGGGAAGCCAATTTAGTTGACGACGACAAGCAGATATATGGTCATACTTCCGCAGACCAAAAATAAACCTAATGCAGTTGTTAAGAAGACGATCTGATCTATTCAAAAAGACTTGAGAGATGTTACTGTAACACACGTCAGCATAATCAATCACAGGCAACACTAGAGCTTGAACAACGAGAGTTTTGGCTTTAATTGGAAGAAAGTTCTTAAACCTGTATAGAGCTCTTAGTGTATCTGTAACCCTACGACAAACGTCAGACACCTGGGAATCCCACGTAAGGCCTGTGTCAATAATAAGCCCCAGGTTTTTTACCTGATTTGACAGAGGAATCACTACGTTCTCTTACATTATTGGTGGCACGCACGACAGATCACAAGACGAAAAAAGGCGTGAGCTTCCAAGGATGATGGCTTGACACTTGGAAGGGTTGACATTGATACCAAACCTTTGGGACCAAACCGAGACGCGATGAAGGTCATCATTAATTAATACAATCGCATCACTTATGCCACCGACATTAACCTCGGTATAAAGCTGCAAGTCGTCGGCATACAGGTGGTAAGAACATTTGATGCTGGACGTAATCAGATTTATGAAAATAGAAAACAAGAGAAGAGAGAGAATTTCGCCCTGAGGTACCCCGGAAGTGAGCTTACACCATTCTGAGAACGAGCGATCAATACGAATCGCTTGTTGGCGATCGCGGAGATAAGAAGAGAACCATTGAGCTGCCATTGAAGAGATATTTAGGTGGTCTAAGGTAGCAAGGAGAAAGTCATGATCCACGACGTTGAAAGCATTGGAGAAGTCAATTAGGACCAGCACAGTAAGTAGAGTACAGTCCATGCCCCTCCTTACATCCTCAACAATCTTTAGCAATGCAGTATAATCATTTTTTTTTTATTGACACGTTTTCTTACAAAATCACTCTGTTTATGACATGTGCACATAACAATGAAAGTTCTCTGTATCGATAGGGCTAAAATTTTAGCTCGTTTTGAACATTTTCTTTTATGTAGTTAAAATTACGGTGATTAGACATTGGTTTGAGAATAATTTAGGTAAATCTGAGTTACCTAAAAAACAATTTTGGATCGCTGCATTTGGACATTCTGTGTGTATATGCATGTATTATTTAATTTCTGTACAAATGTATAAATTATTCGATGCTCCCATGCATATTTACCTAATTTCAGGAAACTCATTCCAATATAAACTACATACAACAAACATATACACTACAACAATATAAACTACATGGCAACACATTCGTATTTATGTCGAGGTTCTGTGTTCCGAGAGAATCTCAAAAAATATCGGGTAAATAAATTACAAAACAGTTAAATTACCTATAGTTCCATGTGAAAAGATATTCATCTTATTTTTTTTTTGTTTTTCGAAACAATGTTTAAAGACACAAGACGGCATTTTGAAACATAAAACATTTTTAAACTAATCACTCGTGACATGCAAACAATGCAACGCTGAGCTTAGGACTGACGCGAGTTTGTATTAGTTTTTGAATTTATATTTGCTTTGGTAGCTTCACTTTCGTGTTCGGCGCGCTCTATCTACCTATTGTTTTGTAATCTGAGTTTAAGAGAAATAGGATTCTAGTTTTTTAGCGTTAAAAATGCAGTAGGAAATACAACCCCATAAATGACATGGCTGTAAACTGGAAACAATAAACTGTCGGTCCAACCAGTATCTTTTGCAGTGAAACCTACGGAGTCCCGTGTGTGTCCCCGAGGGATATACACAGGACTCCATGATAAGCGGCTTTTAGTGCGCCGCGTTACAGCACCGATGACCAGAAAGAAGGCTGGTAGCTACTTCCACTACAGAATAAGCTTAGTTATCAATGTTTTCTACACTGCCAGCCTTCTGGACACGATTTATTTCATTTTTAATTCTTAAATGTAAAACTTTAAGACTTTCTTTTTTCTCTTCTCTTCTACATTGAACCTATATAGCGGACTCTATCAATGGGTTAAAGTGTGGGTGTTAACAACTAGTGCGCAAGGCCAAAGCAAATGTACTTACAGCTTATTAATTTATTAGAAAACACGTATAGCTTTCAAAGCAAAACAGCAAACAAAAATCAAGAAATGGCGCCAAAACAATCACATTTAAATTTTACGTTTAAATACAAAACTAAGCTTAAAAAGACCATATCACAAAATATATACAAAGAGATTGGTAGCGACTGCTGTGATTTGGTACCACCTATGGTGCAACACTATTTGTTTTATTTGAATGTGGGAGTCAGAAGGGTTTGAAGGGTATCAAAAAAATTTGTACTTCCATCAGAACGAAGTTTTAGCAATATCAAAGGTACACCCGCCATATTGACTGTCATTAGGAAGGGTGTACCTCGGATTAGGTACCAGTATTAATAAATACTAAATATAATAACTATAAAAACTTCTTATTCCAAAAATTTTTACCTTAATAGTACTCTGAAGTAAAAGAAACTCCAGCTCGATCTGCTGGTTAGTTTCTGAGAAATAAGACAAAATATGTGGAGATTTCAGAGTGCCGTGCGCATCTAAACGAATCCTGACATCTTTGGTGCCAAAAAAATGTACCAAAATTGTACTATTCAGTACTTATTCTTAAAAAATTTGTACGTCTCTCATAACGAAGATAAAGCGAAATCAAAATTATGCATATTTTCGTAATTTTTAAAAAATAAATTTTCGCCTTTTATTTGGGTAACTAGCTAAAAGATTCCACCATACAGCTTCTTCATATGTCAGTATTTTTCCTTGTTTTATTGGAAAAGTTTTTTTATTGTAAAGATTTTTTTGTTGTAATTGACAGTCAATACGGCGAGTGTACCTTTGATCCGTTAAGGTACATCCGCCATTCTGACTCTCACTATTTGAAGCCATGTAAATATCTCTCACCCTTGTTGTAATAAGGCCACATCTGCAAAATTACAACTTTTCAGGAGAAAGGTTTAACTATTCTAAGAACGAAATAGTTGATAAACTTTCTTATGCTTACAGAGGAGAGTTAAAATATATCACATAAAAATAATTTGTTTCATGTAGTTCGTATTAGTTTCGTGATTTTCATGCGATAAAAGCACTTTTGACGTATGATCATACGTGGCTTTATTATATCAAAAAGAAGGTCTATCGATTTAACCAATTAAATTAATCGAATTGTTACCATATTTAGAGATTTCCTTAATTTATAGATTTAAAATTACCTAACTAGACGATCGACTTTACAATTTTAAGACTTATATGTGTAGATATTAAGGTATAAATGTAATTTGTCAGATGATGGAGAGCACGCAATAACGCACCTTAAGCTGCCACCAGCAGTATTTTGCCGTTTGCAACCCGATTTCGGCTATTGTGATGGATACTACCCCAGGTAAAAAATCAGTATGACCAGCGGACATTTCCCATAACTTCGGGTATTTTTATCGTTATCGTACAATGTTGTCTTATTTTACAGTGATGTATCATAATTATATTCGATAGCTTACTTTATTGTTCTTTTTGCTTGGTGAAATGGTATCGTGGTTGCGTAGATTTTGAAGCGCGTGAGATAGGCGCGGAGACAATCATCGCACATGTTCAAAGCGTGAAACTCACAGAGAGCGGGTGCGGGTCGGGCGTGTGTCGGGTCGGGACCGCGGCGGGTCTAATTCCGGGTATGTATGTGGACGACAACACTAGTGTATCTCTAATAACAATCGAGTGAACGTATAAAAAAATAAAATTTTGCGGAACTTTGTGTTTTTTTATCGAGCTAAGTTTAGTCAATGGTGTTTCGGGTTCCAAATTAGTTCACTACTGATATTTGTTGTTTTTATTATCAAATAAAAAAAGTTCGTATTTTTTAATGGCGGAAAGCTGATTTTCCATGTGTTCGAAATACATCAAAACCTCTAATTTACGTCTCACTTTAATTAAAGGTACTTTATGACAAGTTATGACGATTTTGAATATATATTTTTTTTAATTTCAGCTTCTACTTTGATTTGACCAATCGACGCTGTGTAGGATTTTCATATAGTGGTTGTGGAGGTAACGCCAACAGATTTCAGACTTCTCAACAATGCGCCTCTGTATGCAAGACTCAGATAAATTTTGAGCCAGCTGCATGAAACCATACATCGAAAACGGTAAATGTGTACCTGGATATTAATTTGAATATTGTGGAATATAATAAATAAATTGCAACTATTATGTTTTTTCTTATACAATGTTAGTTCAGGCAATAAAAATGCTGTACGTATTTTTGATATCGAGTTGTTAGGTTTTCGCGGTTGTTACATTTAGTAAATCAAATTATTTTTTCGGACCTACGTCGCGTACCTATAGTTGGTTGTCAAACATCTTGAAATGGCGGACGCAGAAGTGGTCCCTTTTGAAAATGAATTCACATCGGATTGTTCCTCACATTTCGCCATTTCACTAAATTGTGTGAATATAAATTTAAAGTTTCAAATTATTCCCATTGATTCGGTAAGGAATGTTTTTGAGCTTTTTATTAATTATCTCGTTTCCGCGAGCATGTTAATGCGTCATTACGCATGTTAAAACAAGACAAAACATAATGTCATAGATTAATAACCAATAGAGTGTTCTACACAATAATATAGTATGTTTAATACGAATAAAACAGTTTTTATGGTGACCATAATATAAAAAAGAGTAAGTTGCACGGTCTAAAGATTTTATTTCAGGAAGTTATACTCATTTACTTCGTATGCCTTGAGGCGCAGCATAGAGGGTCACCATAAGTTTATTTATCACTATGTATTTCAATGTATCTACTGTAACCTATGTTGACGAATAAATATATTTGAATTTAAATTGTAAGGAAAATTAATAACTTAACATCGAAATAAAAAAATACAGACAATTAATAATCTAGTTCAGACACAGATGTCTTGCTGTAAATGCAATATTGCAAGCTTAACACTGTCCATGTGAAATTTGTAAGTTTCTGAAATAAAAAAATAATTTAATAATTTCAACAACTCGACTGTAATTTTTCTTTTACATAAATTGTTTTTCTTTTTAGTAATTCGTATGTTCTCTTCTTTTAAACAATTAAATAATGCCATCGTGTGTACGTTGGTATCGCAAAAAATCTTCAAAAATATCAGTACAGAAGTGTGAATAACCTTCTACAGGTACGCGATTCATTTGTTTTGGTTTTGTTATGTATTATCATACAATTACGATAATACTGTAGTCTAGGCTCTACTCTATGAGTAGAAGTACTGGCTGAGTAAATATAGATTTGTATTTAGAATGTGTTTAAGAAAATAGAGAGAGAAAAGAACATCTTGGCAGATCTAGAAGTAGCCTTCGTAAGTGAACATGTAAAAAAATACAATAAACATCTAATTTTGAAGTTAATCCCAGTTTATAGTTATAAAATACCTCCTAACCGCTACGCAACCTGAGCTACGCCCCCAGGTTATAATACTATCTCAATATTATCTGCCTGCCTAGCTCATTCCCAATCCCAAAAGGTATAATAGACTGTCGCGTCTGTTCACGGTTCTACGGTACTGATACTCCGACAAAATTCAACACTAAAACAAAACACTTTCACTATTGATAGTGTTTTGTTTGCAACATATAGTTTCTGTAGTGTTATGTTTTGCACACAAATTGAAGTCTTTGAATTGAATTAATTCATAATTGCCGTGGTCGAGTGGCACGCACACCGGTTTTCATGGTGTCGCCATCCCTAAGATTCAGCCGGCTGGATCAATGTAGAAAAACTAAGTTTTCTATGTTATCTGAAATCTGGGTGTTTGTGGTACCATCGTTGTTTCTGATGTCCATAACGTAAGTCTTTTAGGAGTACTTAGTTACTTATTTCGAGATCAGAGTAACGTAGGTGATGTTGTCTACATAACGTAAATATTTATGTCTATATTCCTTTTAAATTATACTGCGTATTATGAGCAACACGCAATAGATGGTTTCGTTATTTCTGGATTAAGTTTCAGGTTCGGTAATTGAGGAACGAACAAAGACACTGCGTTTGATTCTCACGATAATTATATTAACTTGCTTACACTGCAAAACAACAATGTCGGGAAGGATAAGTAGGCTCTTGCAGCCATGTTTCGTCATTGTTTTGTCTATTTTGTACATTATTAAGGGTTACCTCTCTCAAAAATATTTATGTAATGATATTCTATTGTATTTTGGACCGATTAAAAAAAAGTAAATGTAGTATAAGGGCGCCATCAAATTAGACGTTTGTATAAGCGCAGCAATAATAAATTTCGTACAATACTTAGAAGTTCATTTGCAGCGCCACGGTCGTGACACGCACGCGCCACTTTTGCAGTCACATGTGAACTAAAAATTATTGAAGCGCCACAGTGTCGCGGCTGTCGCACCACTGTCGCCCCACTGCACCGCTTTTACAAGTATCTAATTTGAAGCCACCTAAAATGTGAGGAACACAAGGGCGTGCTGTATAATTTTCATTAGATATTGGCCCGTTTGTCCATTATGGTGACGTGTTCATTATATTCCACAATTCATGCGCTGACAGAAATACTATAGTAAAATGATCAGACATGGCGCAGTATGGGCTATAATAAAGAAGTAAGTCCTTGCTAAGCCCAACAAAAAAAATTTAGCTCATTAGCCTAAGAAACGCGACAGTGTTAATTTGGATTATCTTCGCAAAATTAATGAAAGTAAAAAGTAAGTAGGTACTTGATTACGAAGATTTATGTTCCTTTTTAGCTTTTGTTCTATCTATACATTTCGTGAATTATTTTTTAACCACGACACGGTGGAAACAAATAGCATGGTAATACGAATTCACACATCGAGTATGACGTAATATCCATGAGTATAAACCACGGAACAACTAGCCTACATATAAAGATGTCTCAAGTGGGTTGTTAAGCTCCGGCGCTATAGCATAATAGGTATTTTGAAAACTATCTACCATGCCAATAACGCACTTCACCCGATCGCACGCTTACACTTAGGCTAAATTTACATTGCGGGGAATGGAATGGAAGCGATATTGTAGATACATAGTATGCTCGACAATTATGTTGCGATGGCAGGCGCAGCGTGACGTCAAGCGTCTACAAAATAGGTTGTTTACATACTATACCAGAAATAACATGGGTTCAGGTGAAAAGTCTCCATTCTATCTATTTGGTGCAAAAATATGATTGTTTCTACAATGTAAAAGCTAGAAACCAGAGCGACAAATATTGTAAGAGTAATTATGCATGGGGGATAAGTCAGAAAAAGTCGGTGGATAGAGATATAAATCTTCGCGAAATATTTCATATTGTCTAAAAAGTTTTCGATAAACCATGAATCGATTATTTCGGTTTCAGCGGACATATCTTGCTCTTGTCTGCCTATATAACAATCTTTAGATAAATAACATGTCTTTTTAAATGCGTACAGTCAAGAGCACATCAAGCTTGACACTTTGGACTTTGGACCGCTCATATTGCAAGCGGCAACCTTTAGTCTGAAAGGGTTGTAACCCTAACAACCGTGATCAGGATCATGGCAGTAAAACAGGAAACTTCCGGTCCACAAATTTATTTAACGTGAAGTAAAAGGTAAAGTAAAAAAACTGTAACAAATAAAGGTAGATGTAGAAAACAGTACATTAATAAAAAAACACTCCCTAATTTGACCTAAAAATGGTAGATGTTAGATTTAGGTACTTACCCCTTATCAGGTTTTATTATGTTAAATTACAGATATTGGATAGACTGTTATTCGCTCATTATGGTCGATACATTGATTGTATTATGATTAAACTTGAAAATAATAAAAAAATTAGACAATTTTATTTAGTAGTTCTGTCCTCTATCGCGGTCAAGCAGAGAATGACCGTGGTACGAAGCAAAAATGAGAAAATGAATGAAGATGGAACAATTCAAATTTAAAATTTAAATATAGGCAGAAGAAAAAATGATACGATTCAAAAAGTTGAGATGACGGTGTAAGGAGGTCACACCGTCACAAGTCTCAAGCTTGACGCGCTCTTGACCCTGTACTTTATATTATACTAATGTTTTTTTTAACATCAATTGAACTAAATAGAACTTGTAATAGTATACTATATACGTTTTTCAAATTTCTTTAATTCTGTTTGTAAAAAAATTACTTCAGAAATAAACTCAGTGTCACTGACAGTGACACCTAAGCAAAATGAACCGCATTAATACGGGAAAAACTTGAATTCGAGCTGAGGTAGTGAGGTAGTAAGTCTTAAGTAAAGATAAAAAATATGGGTATTTGTTGTATAAAATTACCTACTCGTGTGCGCCAAAAACTTTTTTAAGAAAATGTTTATTAAACGTTTATTAATAAGACAGGTAACGTACAAAACATTTAAAATGGAAGTTTCCTAAACAATTCTAGTTGATGTTTATGTTATTAGCAAGTCTGTACTAAAATTCAAATAAAGTTAAAACAACGCTGTGAACAAGTTGGCCAGGATGTTGGAATTAATTTGATTTTTAGGTTCAGTGTGAAGTTGACACTGACACCCGTATTATTAATGCAGCCTATGTAGTCTGGTATTAATTGCGTGTCGCTTGAAATTTAATTCAGATCTCGAGATATGTACATCTTAAGTTAAGGAGCTCAAGTACCGAGTGATGTTCATTAGTGAAGGTTCATTTCAAGTATTTTGTTAAAAAGCTAATAAACGACTCGGTTTTCAAGTATTTTATTAAAATAATAGTACATTATGTATTAACTTGTGTGAGGTAATAAACGATACCATTTTGTAATTTTTTGCGGCCCGTGCTGTATACAATATTTTTCGTCACATTTGCGACGAAATAAATACAATGATAATTTATTATAACGCAATAATTACGGTTTTTGCAAAGAAATCCAATAAAAAAAAACAAGAAATCCGACATTACTTGTTTTTTTAATCTTAAATAGTTTGCCAGCTAAACTTCCATTGCTAATATAAATCGAACTAAAATATTGTAAAGGCGAAAACGTATACAGCCATGCCCGTGCCTGTTTGTCATTACATTACATCTCTCTTACATATCTAAATAGTTTTACTAGTAGCATCGTAATTTTTTTCATAATGAAATCTATTCAAAATATTCCATCAAAACATGGTCATATTTTTGTACCACGGAACCACGGATGTTACTTATCGTGACATTATGAATTCACTCAACAACAACGCCCCGCTT